CTTTACTTGCAAGTGTTCATTGCAGACAGTCATTGGTCTAGTCCAAGGCCTCTGGTTTCTGCTACACTATTCATGCTGGGCCCTCACTGGAACTCCTCTGGGTTATCCTGCTGTTGTCCTGTGTCGTGGAAATCCTGCAGCTTTGGGTCTGCTCCAGTAGATTGCAGATAGGGTGGATATTGGAGTGGGCCAACACATAACCCTGGTTCTGGGCCTGGGTAGTTGCAGGGTTGGTCAGCCCATCAACTCTCCCTTGTCCTCACCACCAGGGTAAGCTCTCTTGCATTGCCCAGGCTAGTTCACCCTTTACAGAGATGAGCAAGGGGTGGGGCCAGTTCTCCTGCTTTCATGTCCTCAGGGTCAGTTCTCCTACACCTGCACCTTCAGGGCCAGCTCTACTGTGCTGCCCAGGTGTGGCATAGGGGCCACTCTCCTGAGTCTCCCGAGTGCTGCAGCTGATGAGGGTCGGGAACAGCTCTTTTGCTCTTATGAACTCAGGGCCAGCTCTCTCATCTGCCTCAGGTGTTGGTGGGGGGGGGGGCATCTCTTCCCTGCCCATGCCACCAGATGCCAGTTGAGTAATGGGGACAACTCTCCCACACTCACATCTTCAGGGCTGGCTCATCCACACTTCCACCAACAGAGTTGGCTCTATTGTGCTGCCCAGGTGAGGTGCAGGGCCTGCTCTCCCAAATGTTATAGCTGGTGGTGGGCAGGGGCAGCCCTCCCACTCTTATGGCCTCAGGGCCAGCTCTCCCATCTGCCTCAGGTGTTTATGGATGGGTGGAGGGAACTGACTTTTCTGTAATACTGAGTCTCTGCTCCATGAACATGGCATACCTCTCTGTTTATTTTGCCTTAAGTTTCTCTTATCACTGTTTTCTAATTTCAGCACAGAACTCTAGCATACTTGTTAGATTTATCTCAAGTACTTTTTAGCTTTGGGTGCTTTAGACAAACAAACTGATTTGTACTTTCACATTGCAGCCATCACTAGACTTGTGATTTCCAGGGTGTGGAGTTTGCTGTCTGCCAGCAAGCAAGCAGTTCTTCAGTAGATGCCAGGGCCTGCCTCTAATCCTGTTCATTTCTCACATTATCTGCTTGGTAGAAGCATCTGATGCAAGACTTCCCCATCACCTGCAGATGTCAAGTATAAGGCTGTTGCTCAGCAACCAATTACAAATTGGTATTCTTACAAATCCAATAGAGCAGCTCTCAGAATGCAGGGAAATGGGTTTGCTGGCTTATTATAAAGGGTATTACAGAGGATGGATGAAAAGATTTATAGTATAAGGTATAGGAAAGGGGGCATGGACCTTCCATTCCCTCTCAAGACATGTCACTCACCAGGAACCTCCATATGGCTCGTTCTTGAAACATTCAAAGCCTTTTACTTTTTTTGTTTGTTTGTTTTTGTTGTTGTTTTTTGTTTTTGTTTTGTTTTTCAAGACAGGGTTTCTCTGTGTAGTTTTGGTGCCTTTCCTGGATCTCGATCTATAGACCAGGCTGGCCTCAAATTTACAAAGATCCGCCTGGCTCTGCCTCCCGAGTGCTGGGATTAAAGGTGTGTGCCACCACCACCCGGCTGCCTTTTGTTTGTTTATTTGTTTTTGTTTTTCGAGACAGGGTTTCTCTGTGTAGCTTTGCGCCTTTTCCTGGAACTCACTTGGTAACCCAGGCTGGCCTTGAACTCACAGAGATCCGCCTGGCTCTGCCTCCCGAGTGCTGGGATTAAAGGCGTGCACCACCACCGCCCGGCTACCTTTTACATAATTTATGGAGGCTTCAGTGCATAGGTGCTGGACATTGGCTACTGGTCATCAACTTCACCTTTACCCTTCTCTCTTCCCCAGAGACTGGAAGTTCCGTCCTTCTGGCACTGCCCATCCTGAAGGTACTTAGGGACTACCAGCTGTCAGTTACCTCATTATCATACAAAGACATCCTTTTGAAGGTTCCAGAGATTTTTTTTTATGAGTTATATGCTAGGGAACAGTAAAGAAACACACACACACACACACACACACACACACACACACACACAGAGAGAGAGAGAGAGAGAGAGAGAGAGAGAGAGAGAGAGAGAGAGAGAGAGAGAGAGAGAGAGGCCATTGTAAGACACTTAAAATATGAAATATCTATTATTTATTACTAGAACATAGAAATTCAATTATTTTCATATATCAGCCTTGTATGCAGTGACCTTGGCAAACTCATAAGAGTTTAAATAGCTCTTCTATGGGTAACTTACTCTTTTTTATAGGTTTACTTTTCCTTGTTTTTTCACTTTTTATTTGAAAATAATTCCACAGTGATGGCAGGAAAGTTCAAAGATCAGCCCTACACCCTTCATCTCCCAGTCCCACTCATCTTTGCCAGATCTAGACCGTTTTTAGGACAGAAAAGGATCATGTATTTTATTTAGTTTTCACTTATCTTCAGTATTCTTCACTCTGAAACCATTTAAAAAATATTTTTATTATTTACATTCTGTTTATTTGCGCACTTCTGTGTGTATGAATGCACACATGGAGATCAGATCATGTCCTGGGCTTGAACTTAGGTCGTTAGGGTTAGCTGCAAGGACTCTCACCTGCTAAGCCATCTCGCCACCCTTCTGAAACCATTCTGAAGTCCTTCTTTGGTTGTTAAGAATTTTGACTACTCTTTAATTTGGGTCTGTCTGGTGGCTCTACAACACATTCAGGAAATGCATTTTTTGCAGAAACACTACCAGTGTGGTACTGTGGTCATCGCTGGTGACACTAATGACAGAAGATGGATCTGAAAGACCCTGGAGTTCACATCCTTCCTTTTTGGTGGCAGAGCTGACCTTTGGCTGAGCTGGACTAATCAGGACTGCGGAGAGACAAGCCCTTGGACCAACATGTACATTCCTGGGAGGCAAGGCTGTTTCCATGGCTCCTCATGGACAGACCTTGGCCCTTGGCATGCACAGTCCCTAAAACGTTACGCAGGGTTTTCTCTGATAGACTTATATTAAGAAAAATTAGGAAACCAGTCAGGGTAACACAAGCAGTGTGTGTTGTTCACCCACCCATCTTGGGCTGTGGCTGTTTGCTGCACATCTGGCTGCTGGCCAAAGCAGACACTGTCCTGCTGGGACTTTGGCCACAAGGCACACACATCTGTGCTCTGCCCACGCTGCACAATAATGAAGATCAGGGTCTGCATGCACTCTGCCACTCTCCGAGGGGCATTTTCCCTCTGGACCCCTCCATAGCTGTACTTCTAACTTGACACTGAGACACTTGGGTGACTCTAGTGGGTGTATCTGTGATCCCCTCCCACGGCAGCTGACTTTATCTGGGTGAGATGGCATCTGCTAGGCGGCCCTTCTGTAAAGTTACCACTTTTCAAAGAAGAGTTCAGAGGGCATGCTTTGAATCTGTGTGGGGATCTCTCATGCCTCGTTCAACACTTATCCACCAGATTTAGTAAACACAATTGCCAAATGGTGATCGTTGCCATCCCACTACCCCTTCTAAAATTACTCTACGGTAAGGAAGAGCTTTTGCTCCTCCTCAGTTACTTATTCTTTCTTGTGTCAGTGTGGACTCATGAATTTCTGAGGGAAAAGAAAAGTTAGCTCACAGAAAATGCATTGCATGTGGTATTGTACCATTGTTTAGTGTGGCTTGAAATAGCAGCTGAGATTCCTGGAGATCCAAACAAAATGTGAAACTCTATCCCTTACAAGATTTGATAGCTCCACATTGAAAACAAACCAGCACCTGGAGCGTGGACAGACAGACCACTGGAATGGAGAATTTCAGAACCCAGATATTCTACAAATGGCTAGTAAATGGGCAGTTGTGTAGGTGTCTGGGGTGGGGGTCATTTGGAATCATGCCTTACCCCATACACTGGATCAATTCTAAATGGATCAGTATTGAATTGCAAAAGACTGGTGAATGATGGCAAACCAGGAGTTCTTCCACATTGCTATAGATATGTCCTGTATTTGTATATACTACATTAAAAACAAGATATAGTAAATGTGTATTGCATGCCAGGGTTGTTGTAAATGAAGAAGACAGAATAAATAAGTTCCTTGGCTTGTTTGTGAAGGCAAGTTTGAAGAATGAACAAGAAACAATCGTTTGCTGTTGGGGCTTGGGAATGCATGTAGGGGACAGACTCTTCTTTACTCTTTCTTTTCTTTTTTTTTCAACTGGGTTTCTCTGTGTAACAATCCTGGCTGTCCTGGAACTCACTTTGTAGACCAGGCTGGCCTCGAACTCATAGAGATCTGCCTGCCTCTGCTTCCCAAGTGCTGGGATTAAAGGTATAGACCACCACTGCCTGGCCTTACTGTTTATTTTTCATTGCTGCTTATTGTAATCCTGAAGGATGCATCTCAAATGCTAAAATTCTGAATATTGAAAAACCCAAAGATTATTATAGGTCAGCTCTAAAACCCACAAACAGAGCAGGGTATATAGAGAGCACTTGCCTAGCATGCATGGGTTCAATGACCAGTAGCTCTGAATTCACAATTCTGGAATTGTGTTGAATTGTGACATGTTGAAAAGGGAGGCTGTATATGAGGACTAGAAGGCTGAATTATGGGGAGAAATTGGTGCATTTTGATTGGCTGTTTATTGGTGAGGGTCTTTCCAGAGGTGATCAGTGTGTGAGTTGAGTGGTCAGGTGGGAGGGGTTTCTTTTGCAGCTGTTTCTGAAAGGCAATGTTCCTGAGAGCAGGACACTGTCCAACTGCATTAGCAAAGGTCACCCTTTGTGGAGATACACACACACACACACACACACACACACACACACACACACACCAGGGCTGTGGCATGTAGCTCAGGCTAGCCTTGGTCTGTGATTTTGTTATCTCAACCTCCTCCTCGTGCTTGGATAGTCCAAATTCATTTTTTTTTTATTTGAAAGACAGATGGACCACCATGCTCTCCAGTTATTAAAAACAAAACAAAAAAAAAAACCCCAATAAAATCAGAAACATCTGCTAGTGGACAAGCCCAGTTGGCTTAAAAAAATTTTATTTTTGTGATGTGTGTGTGTTGGGAGGAGGATACAACAATGTGTGTGGAGGTAAGAGGGTAACTTTGAGGAATCAGTTCTCTCTTTCCACCTGAAGTCAGGTGGGTCCCAGGATTTGAACTCAGGTTGTCAGGCTTGCAGTGCAAGCAAGCAACTTTACCAGCTGAGCCATGCTGCTGGCTTTGAGCTGCTCCTGAGAGACTATGGAAGGAAAACAGGAAGAAACATCAGTTCTACCCATCCCCAGTCCTGCTGCCAGTATACCTCAGTGCAGCCCTACACTTCTTATCAGATTTCATTCTGCTTATAAAGGACCACTTTCAAAAACCCTTTATGTCTTCTCTCGGGAGATCTATTGCCTACAGTGCTTTATTTTATTTATTTTTATTTTTATTAAGAAACATTTTTTAAATGTGGTCAGCCAAAACCATTTTATTTCCTAATTTACCCATGATGTTAAGCCATTAACATCAAGCCAATTAACACATGACCAAAATTTGAGCACAGGACTGAATGAACACACCAGCTGGGAAGACAGCATAAGATTGAAATCTCAGTTGTTCATATCCTAGCTGCAGACTTATTGGAGGTTACTCTGGGTTTTTTCCCCTCTGTTAAAATGGGGAGCACATAAGGTACACAGGCCTGTAAGCCTTAAATTCAATGCTAGCCAATGAAGCTTAAAAATTTCTAGTGCTCACATCAGAGAAATAAACGGGGGGCTGGAGAACTGGCTCGGAGGTTAGGAGCATTTGTTGTGAAATCCTGAGGATCCCAGCTCCAAGCCAGGCATCTCACATATACTCACAGACACACAAATAAATGAATGAACTGATCTTTTTAAAGTTAGGCCTCCTAGTTCCAGGCCAGCCTGGTCGACACAGTGAGACCTGGTTTCAAAATAATAGTAGTAATAATAATAATAATAATAATAATAATAATAATAATAATAATAATAATGACACTAGTTTTCATTCTAATAAATAAACCACTTCAACTTGTAAGCACAAAGATGAGCAAATCATACCTCCACCTTAATTCAGAGAAGCAACAGTAATCACGTGGGACTGGTGGCCACCCCGTTGAATGCAGTGCAGAGGGAGAGCTGCCACTAAACGCTACCAGGGGCAGCGAGAAGCCAGGTGCTAGTACCATCTATCCCTCACCTGGAGTACAGCTGTCTGGGGGGGGAATCTTCTGCAAGAGATGCCAACATGGGAGGTGGGAGAGTGTCCTGCACTAAGATGGTTTTCTTTAAGTCAGCCTCTTTACTCCTTTGAACTCTGAGCAAGGAGGCGCGGCAGAAGGCTCCGACCTATAAAACCAAGCCTCGGCACACCGAGGGCATTTTCTGGTTGTCCAAGTTGGCCTCCAGGGCTGGCCTCTGGGGACCCAAAGGGCCGTGCAGAGGGGCTTGCAGATGGATCCGTGAAGGTGCCACCAGAGCTGGGAGGCTCCTCTAGACTAAGCCCAGACTGCGTAGCCCGCGGCGGCAGAGGCGGCGGGGCCAGAAGTCCTGCTGCCCGCCCGACTGCGTTACACGGCTTGGTCTTCGCGATGGGCCGCAGACGCCGTCTCGGCCCGAGCCCGCTGTTTCCTAGCTCCTGAGTGGCTGGGGTACCCGGATTAACCTTTCACCTCCGCACTCCGTCCAATCACGGGACGGCTTTCATGCGGCCGCGGGGTGAACGAGCGAGGGGGCGCGGAGCGGCGGCGCGACGCCGGTGGGATTCTCCAAGCCGCTGTGCGCCGTCGCCGCGGGCCGAGCGCGGGCTGCGGGCGAGCAGGGCGCTGCGCAGACTCCGCAGGCGCGGGCGGGAGGGGTCGGGGCGCGGCGCGGTGAGGCGCGGGCGGCTCCGGGCCCAGGTGAATGGAGTAACCTGACAGCGGGAACGAGGCGACGGCGAGCGGCAGGAAATGGCGGCGGCGGCGGCGGCGCCGGGCGGCACCGGGAGGCCTGGGCTGTGACGCGCGCGCCGGAGCGGGGTCCGATGGTTCGGGAAGGCCCGCGGCGCCCAGTGCTGCAGGTGAGGCGGGCTCCCCCTGGGCCGCTTTGTGTCCGGGCCCGGGGGGACTGCAATGCCCGGGCCGCCTCTTGTGCGAGGCCCACGCGGGCGCCGGGAGCAGGCCGCGACGCCGAGCCCGGGCGGGTGACGGTCCACGCGGACCTCGGCACCCCGGGACTCAGAGCCGGGGCCTCTCCGCGTTCCGGCCCTGGGAGGAGCGGGCTTTGACAGGTCCTGTTCGGCGTTCGAAGCCCGGGCGAAGATCGGAGGTGCATACGCGGGCCGGCGTCCCCGGGAGCGACCCCGGGCCTGCCGAATGGCGCGGGACCCGTGAACACCTCAGAGGACCAGGAGGGGGACAAGGCCTCGGGCGAGGTGATGGCTATAGAGCCCTGGGAGGGATTGTTGTATGTTTATTGGCAGGTGACCAGGGCTGGCCCCAGGGGACGGGTGGCCGAAGCCATCCTTTTGGCCCCTCCCCTCAGGTCGCTGTGCCTGGACCCTGCGAAGGGGCTTTCATTGGACAAATGGTGTGCCTTTCAGGCTAGCACACCAGAGTGGGTTGCCTAGCAGAGCTGAGCTGCCCTTGTGATTTTGCCTGCAGGACAGTGCCAGTGTCCTGGAGATTTGCTTAAACAGATGATTGAGGAGTCTTTGATCTATAGCCCTTGCTTTTGTGAGGAGAGTTGTAGTTAAAGGGTTAAGTTACTAATGTATGATGTCATAAGTATTCTGATGATCGAGTGTTGAAAACCGCCATCTGATGAAAGAGAATTACATGGGAGCTCGCCCCTGCCTGAGTTTCTGAATCTTTGCAGTCCTGATTTGTCAGTTTTCTGAGGAGCCACACCATCAGTCAGTAGAAAAAGGGCGAAAGTTTAGCAACTTGGGAAATATGACACCTGCTATAAAATGCATTCACGAAGTTGGAAATTCATTGGTATAAACATTAAACTTTCTAAGTAAAATTTCCATTGTGACCACACCGTGAAAAAACATTAAACTTTCTAAGTAAAATTTCCATTGAGCTCAAAAATTTATTAAAAGATGAATTCTGGGTGAGGCTGGTGCAGTAGTTTTGATATTACTGATACCTTTGGAAACTGAGTTCTGGAATCATCTGTTGTGCCAAGTGTCTTTGAGGCTACCTGTGGCACATGCAGTGTGTAATATAAGTGCACATGCTCATGAACAGAGAGTGTATTTTATTAGAACTGTCAGCACCAAGGGTTGGTTTTAGTAGCCTAAGCTTGTGAATGACTCCAAAAGATAACTGATTTGGTTTCAGTTGGGTGGTAAAGGACCTTACAACTACTTTAGTAAGGGTTGCCTTTACTTCCCATGCTGAATACTGCATTATGGCAGCTTTTCTGAGTAGGAATTGTATAGCTAGGCTCTCTCCCAGTTGCTGAGCTTTCTTGTCTTGGATTTAGAAAATGTTTTGATGTAGCTTATTTCTGTCTTTCTTGAACTCAGGATGCTTCTGCCTCACTCAGTCTCTCTGGTCCTGGAATTACAAGCGTGCACCGCCAGGCCTGACTCCCTTGGTTCTGATTGGATAGTGATTTTGTGGTGGTGGATAATGAATAGTGTTTAGGTGTAGTTCTGCTTTCTAGGGAGGATAACTTTTATAGCATAGCGTTCTAGCATTGCCATATCTTACTCTTTGCTGCTGCCTGATGATGTGAGACAGTGACGTCACTTGAGAAGGTGGATGTGCTCTAAGTATTCCCTCTCTGAAGGCTGCACATGCTTATGTGTGGCAGGTAAGGAGGACATTGGGTAAATCTCATCAATATGTGCCAAGATGTGTCAGGTTCTTTTCACACATTCTCATTGAATTCTTGGTGTGTTGGTGTAGTGACCGCCTTCCTGATTTTACACACTAGGGAAGTGAGACTCAGTGATAATTACTTCTGTCTGCCTGAGCCTTGACTGATTCATGGTTTGGTTCCAGAATGCCAGCGTGCCTACTCCTCAAAGTGTGCTGTCCAAGTGGATTTTCGGCAGTCTGCATGAAGTGTGTTAATACAGGTGGAGTGGGGGAAGCTCTGTCAAACTGAATGTTCAGGTGACCTCTGCTCATCTGAATGTTTCCAACTGTTTTAAAATGTGACAGAATACACATGATTGCAGCTTTAGCCATTAAGTGTACAGTGCAATTGCATTCACATTTTGCAGTTATTGCCACTATCCAACTCCAAACATCTTCTCTCACTGGGACACTTTCCCCGCCTAAACACTAACTGCACATTCTGGCCTTCATTCCTAAGTGACCACCATTTTCTCTTCTCCTTCTGTTTGAGTTTGCCTATGCTAGGAACCCCATGTAAGTATAGTCATTCAGTATTTGTCTTTGAGTTGGTGTATTACACCGACATAGTACCTTGGGGCTTCATGCCATGCATGCATCAGTTTGTCACTTTGAAAGGCTGACTGATATTCTGTTTGTATGTATAGATGGTCCCTAGCTTATAATGGTTTGACTTGACGTTTTTTAGCTTTAAGATATGTGAAAATGTGCAGTTACAGTAGAAACTTCTTTAAATTTTGAATTTTTGATTCTTTTTCCTGTCCTAGTCAGCTATGTGATCGTGAGGGGTAACCAATGATACACTGTGCTCTGTTGTTGAGTTAGAAAGTTTGATATGTTAAGTACACACTTTTCCCAGTTCTCTGTTTTCAACTTAGAAGTGGGTTTCTAGGGCCATCGACGGTGGAGGAGCACCTGTGTATGTCCTGTTCTGCTTTTCCAGCCGACTGTGGGGGACAACCTGGGGTTTCCATCTTTGAGAGTAGTTGGTGCTGTGAGCATGGATGTGAATGGCTCTGATCGGGGCCTGCTGTCATTTCTTTTTTTGGGCATAGACCCCAAAGTGGTCTTGGTTGTTGATCATTAGATCAAAACACTAGGCTCAGCTTTCTTCCAGACTCTTAATTTCCTACAAATAGTTCCTCTGTGTCAATAAAGGACTAGAATCTTTTCCCAGTCCAGGGGTTACTGATTTTTAGAATCTTGGTTCTTACCACAGTAAAGCAAACAGGGATTCTTATCACAGAATGTTTTTAGTGGATCAGCAGGCTGTTATGCCCTGATGGAGCCAGAGGAAGGGGCTGCTAAGATTTCTGTGTACCTTGTACAAATAGAAAGTTGGAGCCTGGTGATTATTTTGTTTACCTTAGGATCTGCTATTTGAGCATTCAAGAGTTTAGCTCATCCTCAAAGCCAACAGATGTGTGTGTGTTGTGCTGGCTTTTATTTACAGATTTCTTCGCAGTATCTTCAAACTAGGCCGTACTCTATGGAGGTAACAGTGTTTCGGTAGTATTCCACCTCTTTAGACTATGCTGCTTAGACGTTTTAGCCCCTTTTTCCTGATTCTTTGATGATTACCAACATTTCTAAAGAGACTCTAGTTTTCAAAAATTCTATGCATAGATGAGCATTTGTATAATAATATGTTTTCTGAGAAAGGATGTAGGACGTCCTTATGATAATAAAAAGGTGTTTTAGAGAACTATGAAATAATAGTGCAGGTGTAGGATAGTCTATGGATGGGAGAATTATGTGAAGAGCTTCAAGCAAAGATAATTATTCACAGCTTACGTGTAACTAAAGTGCTTTTACTTTTTTGTTTTGTTTTAATTTGCCAAAGTGAAAGAGGAACTAGGGCTAATTATAGTTGCCATCGATTGATGAAGGAAGTGTACCAGTTAGCCAGGAGCAGCAGACTTTTCTCCTTTATGAACAGGGGTTGATGGTTTGGATTCTCCCACAAAATAGCATTGTCAATGTATGGAGACAGTGTTGACCTATACAGGTGATAGAGAAACACAGTCAAAAGCACAAAGCACAGTCAGAAAGCCTTGCTAAGATGGCATGTGTGGTTCTGGTGATGTCTTCTCCAGTGGAGTTGAAGTGTCCCTTGTAGCATGCAGGTTTTGACTGGTGGCAGGTAAGTTCATTGAGGAGTGTACCCTCTGGGGCACTAGAAGCAGTCAGGACTTTGCAAACAGTGGTATTTTTGCTGGCCTTCAGGAGTTTGTGTTGGGTGAAAAAGTAGGACTGCTTGTGTGGTGGTTTGGACCTGATAAATAAAAGATCATAGAGAGAAAAGTATATGTTTGAGGTGTAGC